CGTATTAACATTAAATCATTAAAATAACACACTCATTTTGCGTTAATATTCTTTGAAAACATATTATATCACCATTTAATACTATATCGAAGTCTGGTGTATTAATACAATTTTTGCACGATTTTTTAAAGTTGGTAATTTTTGTAACATTATACATATATTTCTTTTGTATTGAGCTAGTTTGTAAATAAAATTTATTTATTTATATATATAGTTAAAATATTATTAAAAACACTAAATAATTTTTAAGAAAATATACCAAAAAAAATTTGAGATATCTTACACTGTTATGCACTACCTTTCTATCAACACAATAACAGTTACAAGCAACAGCAAATAGTAAAAACAAACAAAATTGCATTTAATAAATCTTTATAAATAAATCAACATTTTAAACCCATCATTAAATCACAAGAACTTAAAATAACTTGTAAAAAATTAACAGCACAATAATATTATAATTGCCTTTGAATGTGCATAACTTAAAATCCCTGATGAAACTAAAATAACTTGCACATACCAATACTAACCAATAAATTATTGAATTTACAAAAATCATGAAATCAAAAATATAATAAACCTTATTTTAAACAATTTAACAGAACATCTACAATTAATAATTTTAAGCTAAACTCTAAGAATTACTCAATTTCAAGGTAAAATTCTTAGTTTTAGCTTTGAAAATTCATCGAAACGAAAACATATAATTAATAAAACAAAAATGTTTGCAATTCGATGCAATTTTTAAACTTTTTACAAAGTCAAAATTAATATTGATTTTGTGCTGGTCGATGATCTAAATTTATCCAAGAAATAAATATGCGTTTGTTATTTTTAGTTTTGTAAACATTCAAGAGATTCAACAATCAAATAACGAAATAGCTTCTTTTTCTTTACCAATGGTAGCAAGCTATTATCATCAGATATACTTACTCATCAAATACTTCTAATAAAGAGCATTTTTCTTGGCGTCGACTGATACAACAACTTTCGCATGGTTTCCGACCTTCAATACCTCCAAAACATCTCCTCTTAGATTTGCGGCATCTATAACATGCTAGTTTTACACGTCTTACTGAAGAGGGTTTCTTTAAAGATTTTAGAAAGTTATTATTTTATTTTTATTATCATCATCATCACCATCATCATCATCATCACCATTATTGTTATTGTTATTATTATTGTTATTATTATTATTATTATTATAGTTATTGGGATTGTTATTTTCATCTTCTGATTCTTCTTCCTTTTTATTACCAAAATTAAGAAATTCTAACGCTAAATCTAAAAAAACATAAATTATAAATAAAAAATAAATATAA